TTTTTTTTGTTTTTTTTTTTTTGCTAAAAGGACCAAGGCATGATGACGCTGAGGGACCTGGGGCGGGAGAGGCGGGAGGGACAGGGGGAGGAAAAAAAGGGACAAAAAAAGGGAACAAAACAAAACAAAGGAAAAAAAAAAAAAAAAGAATCAAGCCGAAATTAAAAAATATATATATATATAGCTCTGGCCTTTGAGTGGAGGTGGCAGCGGGGCTGGGTTAGTGCTGCGGGTGGCCCCGGGCTCAGAAGCCGTTGCCGCTGATGTTGATGGACTGCAGGTCGGCCACCTGCATGACGTTGATGCCGCTGCTGGCCAGGCGGGCGATGCCCTCGGGGCAGATGGCCTCCATGGCCACCATGTTGGTGGCGATGAGCGCCGAGGGCGTGGCGCCGCCGTTGCCCTCGGCCGAGGCCGCCGTGTCCAAGGAGACGGCCGAGACGTTCATGGCCACGTTGGTGGCGCCTCCCTTCTTGTTCTGGTGGGTCTTGATGTGCTTGGAGAGGTGGTCGCTGCGCATGAAGCGTTTGGGGCACTCGGGGCAGGCGAATTTCTTCTCTCCTGGGGGACACGGAGAGGGGGGTGAGGGGTTGGGGGGGAAAGGGTGGGATTTGGGGAGAGGCTGGGATTTGGGAAGAGGTTCCCACCCTTGAGAGGGGTCAAGCCCCGCAATGAAGACAATCAAGGCTTGGAATTTTGGGAAAAGTTGGGATTTGGGAGAAGGCTCCTCCCCCTGAGAAAACTCAGGCTCTGGAGAGGCTCTGAGCCCCAAGAGCTCCAAGCCAACGCTCCAGGATGTTGGAATTTCAGGCTGGGAGATCCCTGAGGCTGCCCCGTGCAGCTCCAGGATTCAGGGCAGCCATCCCAAGGAATCCCAGGGTGTCCTGGGAGTCAGGAGCACCAGGATTCAGGGCAGCCATCCCAAGGAATTCCCAGTTTCCTGGAGCCCCGGCCGTACCTGTGTGCGTGCGCTTGTGCCGCTGCAGCTCGTCGGAGCGGGTGAAGCGCTTCCCGCACAGCACCCAGGTGCAGATGAAGGGTCTCTCCCCCGTGTGCCACCGCAGGTGTGCCCGCAGGTGCGAGGTCTTCCCGTACACCTTCCCGCAGCCCGGCACGTGGCAGATGTGCTGCTTTTTTTTCCCTGGATCCCCAGAGCTCCTGCGAGAAGGGAAAGGGTTAAAACCCAAGGGACTCGGCCCGGGGGTGGGCATCGGGATGGGATTGGTGAGTTTGGGGTGAGGTTCAGCCAGACCCAGAGCCAGGTCCTGTCCTCGGGTCACAACAGCCCCACGGGACGCTGCGGGCACGGGGAATTGGGGCTGGAAAGCCGGGAAAGGACCTGGGGGTGCCCAGGTGGCCACGTGGACGTGGCACTCGGGGACACGGGTGGCCTTACCAGAGCTGGGGGAACCTGATGATCCCAGGGACCCTTTCCAACCCAAATAATTCCATAGAATGAGGCACCCCGGGGGAGCCGTGGGCAGCAGCCTCACCTGCCCTCTCCCTCCTTGCAGTAGGGACAGGTGCAGGCTTCCCTCCGCGTTTTCCGGCCCTGCTGGGGCTGGGGGTCGGGGCTGGTCTCCCCCTCCTCCACGGTCGCGCTCTCGTCGCCCAGCCCGTCCCCGCTGCCGCCGTGCAGCCCCAGCTGGGCCCCGTGCTCACCTGCAAGAGAACGCGGCAGGTCAGGGCAGGTTCCTCACCTGCAAGGGAGGGTCTCCTCTGCTGGATGCAGCTGGGAATTAATCCCACCCTTTCCTCCCGGCTTTCCTGGCATTCCCCATTTCCTGGGGCTTTCCCTGGTGCTGTTTCCAGCAGCTCCAGTGAGGATGAGGCGAGAGGAAGGTCAGTGGGGGCTGCTGGTCACTCACTGCATCCCCTCTGCCCAGTGCTTTGGAAGCTGCACTTTCCAAAGCTGGCATTCCCAAACCCCAACCCACAATCCTTCTGGGAAACCCTGCTGAGTCCAGCACCTCGGCCAAGCAGGGAAATTTCCTTTACAATCCTGGTTTTCCACGTAGGAGCTCCGAGTCAGGAGCCAGGGGGGGTTGGGGAAGGATAAATTTCAAATCCCCCGTGAGGAGCAGGCTGGGTGCTCTGGAGGTGCCAGGAAGGAGTTTCACAACCCGGAGACAGCGCTGGGAATGAGGAGGAATTCCTGGCAGGAACAACTTCCCCAGTCCTTGGTGGCGCCGGTGCCAGCAGGCGTCAGTGGTGCCTGGGCAAAGCTCCATGGAGGAGCCAGGAGGGACAGGAGCCACCAGAACGGGTCCGTAGGGCCCAGGGAAGGACAAAAGCCACCAGGAAAGCGAGGAAATCTTCCCTAAAATCCAAGTTAAACTTCCCAGCAGAGCCTGTTTGCCCTGTCCTGTCAGCTGGGAGAAGAGGCAGGAGCAGCCAAGATGTCACTGGGGGCTGTCACCGGGGGCTGTCACCCCACATAAACTCCAGATATCCCGAGGACAGTCCCTTCATCCAGCCTGGGACCAACCCCTGGGAGCACAGGAATGCTGCCCCAGCCAGGCCTGCAGTAGGAAACTGTCCCCTCCAAAGGTGACACCATTTGAAGCCCGGCCCTCGGTGCCACATTCCCGAGCTCCCTGCGGAACTGAGGATTTCAGGAGCTCCCCAGTCCCTCCCTGCAGCTCCTGTGACGCGTCTGCAGCCACAGCCCCGCACTGAGGGAGCTGGGAGGGGTTTCTAAGCTCCCTAAGCCAGTGCCGACAGCTTTGTGCTCCAGCCACGGATTAGAGATTTCCCCGGATGGGAAGCGCTGCAGGACAAAAAACAAAACAAAACAAAACAAAAACCCCAAACCAGGAGAACGTTCTCTCCCCAAAAATACACCAGGGAGAGGGAGAATCCAGCCAGGATGCCTTGGAATGGCTTCAATCCTCCGAGAGGCAAAAGCCCACGCGGCGTTTTCGCGGGGGGAGCAAACCCAAATCTGCTGCTGGAGAGCTGCGGCTGCCTCTGAGTGAGGTATAAATCCAGGGCAGCAGATCCTGGACCTGCTGGGATCATCCCACCCCAAGCAGGAGCTCTGGAATCTCTGGGATATGACAGGTTCAGGGGGAAGTGGGCAGAGAGGATAATTCACGTTTATTATCCCCGCTAATACACGTCCCTGCTAAGACTAAAGCTTCCCTGGAGGCTCCACACTCGGGTCAGCAAAGCCCTGGAAAAAATATTATTAATAGACCAAGAGAAGGTTTAATCCTTGGAAAAAGCCTGGGAAGAAAGAGGGATTTTGGGAAGGCAGGAGAGGGGAGCTGCCCCTGGCCCAGCTCCACCAGCGACCTCTGAGACCCCCCAGGAATGGGGCAGGTTCTGGTGTCCCACCAAAAAACCCCAAACCCCGGAATGTTGGCTTAGGAATTCTCTGCAGACAAGGTGCTCCTTGTGAAGGAAAAAGCTGGGGTTTGTTTGCTTTATTTAGCAAACTACCAGGAGGTGAGAAATGCCCGGCGGGGAGCAGAGAGGAGCTCTCACACCCACCCTGGCTCACCTCAGGCAGGGGAACAGACCCCGTGTTCATTTTTAGGGGAAGAGCTGGAAATAAAACCCAAAACCAACAAACCGGGGCTGATTGTGCAAACTCTGGCAGCTGTGCCTGGCAGAGGAGCAGAGGGTGAGGGGGGAGGCCTGGCACCAGGCACGACGTGGCTTCAGGCACGAGGAAGTTTTCAGGTGAAAAGAAAGAAAAGCAAAACCTGGGGACACGCAGTCCCAACCTCTGAAAAGATCTCCAAAATCCACATTTTCTAGCTCACAACTCCAGTTCTCCCCATTTCCTGCCCAGTTTTTGGGGTCACTGCTCTGCCCAGAACAAACCCAGCTGCTCCAGACACACCAAAGAGCTGCACAAAGGGACAAAGTGGCTTTGGAACGATTTTTCCCCCATCTGATTCCCTCCCTGATTTGCAAAATGAATTAATCTGCACCAGGAGCTCATCATGGCAAATGAGCCAAGCTCTGGCTCAGCAATTCCTTGGAGATCGGGGTGGTGGAGAGGGAACCAGGGGATGGGGCAGGCTGCAAGTCTGCAGCCCGGTGAATAATCGGGCTCTAATTCGGACTCTGATGACTCCAGAAGCCACTCCTTGGGCAGCTCCTGTAATTGCTGGAGGTTTCTGTGCGTCAGGATGAGCGACACTTCCTTTGGGAAGGGGATAAGCCAGGATGGAGCCGATGGAATGAGTGAGGGGGGCTGTAAAAGAGCAAGGCAGGGAATCGCCTCATCATCCACTCTGCCAGATCCCTGAACCCCCCACGATTTGCCAAATGCCTCTGTCATGCTGCAGACTGACAGACAGAGCCCCTTTGCCCTTTAAATTCCTGAATTGTCACAAAACCAGGATGAAGCCCCCGGTCCTGCCCTGCCTTTGCTGGCGTGGAAGCAGCCAGAGCGCCTCACCCTGCAGCACGGGCAGGTCCCACCAGAGCAGCCCCGAGAGCCAGCCAGAAATCCCTGGGTGAGGGCTGTGGAAGGAGGAGAATGCCTGGATGAGACAGGGAAGGGCAATTCCCGAGGTGGGGAACCCCAGCAGGCATCTCCCACCTCTGCCCAACCTGTGTGCGCCTCTCCTCACCGCAGTCAAGGGTGGATGCTTTCCTGAGCCACAAATCCCAAGTTTTCAATCCCAAGGAGGAAGCGATGCCTGTATCAATCCCAGGATCTGACCCAGGCGTCCTGGCACGGGTGGGAGGGGACGAGGAGCCGTCTGGACGCCGTGGGCCAGGCTGAGGTGGGAGTGGATGCTCTGGAGAGGAGCCACGGGAAACTCCCCCAGAGCCGGCAGCCAGGACGCATCTCCTGCATGGGCTGATAAGGACGGGGCTCCAGCAGGGCTGGGGCTGGCCCAGATAAAAGGGAGACACAGATCAGGGCCTGGCAGACGGGTCTGGAGCCGGGACCTCTCCCGGGAGGAGTCACGGGGTGGGTGCTGCACGCCCGACCCGTCCGACCGGCGCGGCCGCCAACCCTTCCCAGCTGAGCCTGGCCTGGAGCAGCAGCAGCCAGAGGAAAAGCAGGAGGAGCAGGGCTGCCCCATGGAGCCCAGGACACACAGGGTGGCCCCCACGGGGGTGTGTGGGGCACAGCCTCCCCCAGACAAAGCTGTGACAACACAGGCTCTGCTGGGATCGCTGCCCTTCTTCCCCAGCGACCCCTGGGATTCGTGTGAGTCCCCGGGGAACGACACGCACCGAGGCCAGCCAGGAATCCAGAGGGGATGCAAAGTCCAGGCTGGCCAGGATTTAGAGCAGGAAGTTTCACAACACGCTGGTTTGTGCCGTGATGTCACGGGGGCGGCGAGACAAACAAGGGCTGCAGTCCCGGGCGGATCCCGCGGGGCTGGGGCTCCGCTCCTGTTCCCATTCCCGTTCCTGTCCCCCCTCCCCGCCACCCTCCAGGCCATGCCAGGGCCTCATCCAGCCCCTGCTACAAAGCTGCCCTTAAAAACCAGCAAACAGGACACAATCGGGGCTTTGTGCCACTGGCCCGACGCTGGGAAGGGCCCTGGAAGGGAGCAGGGAGCCGGGAGGGGTTTGCTGCACAAGGTTCCTGCACCCACCGGGGGCTTTTCCTTTCAGGACTGTCCTGATGTCCCACGGCTTGATTCCCCCATAATCTCCCCACCAAGGAGCTGCAGGGAGCTCGTGCTGCCCAGAAAATCCCAATCCCAGCCAAGAGCTCCATCCAGCCCTGGAATCAAACATCCTAAAATGAGGACTATCTATCCCTAGAGTGTCTCCAAAAGAAGGGGGTTTAATTCCAGTTAAAATTAAACGTGGTGGTCACTGTTTACCCAGCACATTCCTGAGCCAGGTAGGGCTGGGACAGGAACAGGGACATGGGGACAGAGCCACCATAAGGACACGGAGCCCAGAACAGTCCCTCTCCCCCTCCCTATGGCAAAAGAGGAAGAGAAACCCCGATGACACAAAATGCCCGCCTTCATCCCCCTCACACAGGATGTCCCCTCCCCATGGGCTGGGGTGACGCTGAGGTGGCTCTCAGACCCCACTGAGGTGTCACAGCCCCCACCTGAGCCCCAGACCCCGTCCCTCACCTCACAGGTGCCCGCCTGTGTGGGCAGCGCTGGCAGCGGCCCCGGGAAGGTTTTGGGGTGCTGCCAGCTGAGGCAATCCCCCCTCCCTGGCTCTGGGGGTGCCCTCCCCAGGGGCACAGCTGGCAGCAGGGCCTGTTTGCCCACATGCCACCCCTGGTGGTCACAGACCTGCCCCAGCCTCTGCTCCTTGCCAGCCCAGCCAGGGAGGAGGGCGAACACAGACACTGAGTCAGAGCTGCACAGAGAACTGGGCTCTGCATCACACCCGGGAAAAAAAAGAAATCTGAGTTTTAGAGACCTTTTCAGGTGTTGTTTTCTCCCTGAGGGATTTTTCCCCTGCCAAAAAAGAGGAGAAAACCTCATTGGCAGCAGAGCACAGGGGCTGGGGGCCACAGCCCCCCATCCATGGGGCACAGGAGGAGACACAGAACCCCCCAGCTGAGCTCTGCAAGGGGCAGGACACGCAGTGCTGCCAGCCCAGGTGGCAGCTGGGCCACCACACCCCTGGCTGGGCACCTCCTCCTTCCCCACCAGCCCGGAACACGCAGCAGGATCCAAGGAAAACCAGCAAGGTTCATTTTCCATCTGCCTCCCCTCGGAAGCAGAGCAGCTTTTCCTGCTCCAAAAATCCCTCCCAACTCCTTGCCTGGAGCAGAAAGTTCCAGCACACGTGGAGGCTTGGAATCCACTCAGGGGTTTGGGAAGTGTTGGGAACAAACCCCTCCCTCAAATTCCCATCGGAGAGCTCGGATCCGGAGGGACGTGGGTCCGGGGGGAGCTCAGCACCCCCTGGAGAGGGGCTGGGGGGGACAAAGGGACCCTTTGCCACGTCTGAGGGACACGGCCAGAAAAAAACTCCTCCAGCCTGGAGCCAAATCCTGCACTGGATGGGTGCCAGGTGCTGTCCTGGCCACAGCTGGCCATTCATCCTGGCCATTTCATCCCAGGAGCCTCCCGGACCATCCCACCGAGCTGGGGGCTCCCCAAAAACCACTCTGAACCCTGCTCTGGCTTTTCTTGTCAAATGTCCCCGTGTCACAGCGCCAGAGCCAGCGTCACGTCCTCGGGGCTGGCGACAGGGCCAGGAGGCCCCAGCGCTGCTGCCGCCACCGCTGGCGGGGAATTCTTCACCGCCGATCAAGGACTGAAAGGGCTGAGCTAAAAAAAAGAGAGGAGGAGGAGGAGGAGAAAGAGGAGGAGGCGGCTGCGTTGGATGGGTGGTCTCTAGAACGTTCCTCCCTGTTCCACCCCCGAGGGCAGAGCCAGGCACGAATACAGGAACTGGGGCTCGCCCATGCCTTCCTCCAGCGCCTTCAAAACAAGGGACGAGCCCGGGAGCACGCCAGGAGCGAGCCCCGGCCCCGGCAGAGCCGGCCCAGGCGCGGGGTGGCACTGAGGGGACCCTGCACACCCCGCGGGTCACAGGGGCTACCTGTGTCCCCCCGGTGCCAGCCCCGGCCAAGGGAGCCCCCCGCGGGTCCCTGCGCTCCGGGAAATCCAAGGATCAGGCTAATCCCGAGGCTACAGTGACCCGTGGCTTGCCTGCGAGCCAAGCTGCTGTAGCAACAGCCCAAAATAATGCTGCAAAACAAGGCCGGGGCAGCAGCCGCTGCCTCTCGCGAGAGGGAAGCACGGGCTGGATTGAGCAACATTTTCTGCTGCCTCTCAACTGTGACTAAATCCAGCAACAGCCCCTTTTAGCCAGAGCCAGAACACACACACACACAAAAAAAAACAACAAGGAAAACAGTGGAAAAGCAAGCGGAGAGCGTTCCCAGAACCGATCCCTTCCGCGGCGGAAGCTGAGCAGGCTCCAGCTCGGTTCCCACACGCACGTATCCCGCTTTTCCCAGCCTGTGGGAGACGCCGGGATGGATCCCTGGGATCTGAGCAGGGTGCCCCGTGCCCACGGGCCCGTCTGGGCCACGCTGAGGTCACGCAGCCAGCACCCAGACACTCAGTGAGCCCTTGGGTCCGCCCTGTGAGGAAATTCCCCGCGGCTCCGTGACTGGGTTTGTTTTCATGGAGTTTTCACTTAATCCCTGTGTTTTAGGGCCATGACTCTTCACAGGCTCAGCCAAGGAGCCGAGCTGGACTCGAGTCCTCACCCCAGCCCTGACCCGACACTCCTGGGTGGCCACCAGGGCAGGACAGTGGCACAAAACCAGCTGTCCTCCTTCTTCTCTGCTTTCCCCCCACAGTCACCTCCTCCCTTTCCTTCCAAGCCTTCAACTCCCCGAAAAAGACCTTTAGTGTCTTCTGGTGATCAACACGCTCGGTCCCCAGGGCCAGCACAAGCCAACACCATTTGACACCAACCACGCCCAGCCCAGCCCCGCAGCGTCCCGCGTTCCTCCCTCCCCGCCGCGCCCCCAGCACTCACCGGGCGCGTTGGCGATGGCCAGGGGCAGCCCCTGCAGCTGGTGCACCTGGATCCCGGACGCTCCCAAGGCACTGAGGTTAATAGTCTGGAGGCCCGGCACGGAGGAGAGCTGGGCGGCGTTGACGGTGACGGTGCCGCTGGGCAGGGAGGCGATGGGGGTCAGCGTGGTGCTGGTGCTGCCCGTCTGGCCCAGCGACACCCCCTGCATGGGGGCCAGCGTGATTGTCTGCGCCTGGGGGTTCTGCACCTGCAGGTTCTGCAGCTGGATCGTTTGCCAGCTCACCTGCCCGTTGGGACCCACCGTGGGCGTGCGGATGATGATGGGGCCCGAGTTGGGCACGGCTTGGAGCTGCAGGTTCTGCAAGGTGTCTTGGGAGATGGCTTGAGTGGCAAAGGTCTGGCCAGACAGCGGGGTGGTCTGCAGGGCTTGGATTGTCTGCCCTCCCTGGACCAGCTGTGGCTGGATCAGGATCTGCTGCTGCTGCTGCTGGGACTGCTGACTCTGATCCCCCTCCTTCTGCTGCCCCGGCTGCAGGGCCACCCCGGACACCGGGCTCTGCAGAGAGTCCGAGCTGGGGACGCTGCTGGCCCTCTGGGGGGTGGTCTGTGCCTGCACGTTGGTGCCCACCGTGGCACTGGTGGAGAAATTCATGACGCCCACGTTACTGGTGGTGGTGGTGGTGGAGTAGCTGTTGGCGTTGGTGAAGAAGGCGCCCGAGCTGGCCTGGGACGTGGCCGTGCTGCCCGAGCTGCTGGCAGCCCCCGAGGTGGCCGGCTGGGAGCTGCTGTCCGGCGAGCCCGAGCTGCTCAGGGTGCCCGTCTGGGACGTGGGGGCCAGGCTGGCGGCCACGCTGTTGACCGGCAGCAGGGTGATGTTGCCATTCAGGGCCACGGGCACGTTGGCCACGTACTGGGTCTGCCCAGAGAGGCTGTTGTTGGCCAGCCCCACGCCCTGGATGGGCACGGCCTGCTGCAGCAGGTTGGGCATGGCGATGAGGTTGCTGCCGCCCGCACGGCTCGTGATGATCTGCTGGTTGGAGCCCGGGATGATCTGCAGCTGCCCCGAGGCATCCTGCTGCACGTTCACCTGCGCTGGGGTGGTGGCAAACTGCAGCTGCTGCCCGTCGATGGTCTGGAACTGGGGGATCACCTGGTACTGGATGTTGGGGATGACGCCCGGCAGGCCCGTGAGCACCTGCTGGTTCTGCAGGCCGGACGCCGAGGTGACCACGTAGGGCCCGGTGCTGACCGGGCGGCTCTTGGAGGCCTCGCTGCCATTGCTGCCGTTGCTGCCCGGCTCCTTGGAGCCCGTAGGGGTGCTGGAGCCCGCCGAGATGATCTGCCAGCCGTTGGCCGACTGGGTGAGCTGGGCGGCGGCCGCGTTCAGGTCCAGCTCGCCGCTCCCGCCCTGCTGGCCCTGGGAGCTGTTGGAATTCTCATTGGGAGACTCGATGCGGCTGCAGGTGGCAGCCAGCAGGGCCAGCGGGGACGGCTGGGACTCCTGGGGACGAGAGGAGGAGTTAAGGAGATGGGAAATGGCCCGAGGGGCAGGCCCGGAGTGGAAAAAAAACCCCGGGGAAACAACAACAAAAAAAACAACAAAAAACAAAACTCAAAAAACTTAAATAGAGAAAACAGGGAGGAGCATACTCAGAAAAGATAAACACTCCTTCCTGAACAAACCCACCCACAGCCGGAAAAATACAACTGCCAGGCACAGGGCTGTCAGGCCGGGACAGCCTGAACCACAGGGAAAAGCCTTTTGGGAGGGAGGAAAGGGGCGGGAGCCTGCCTAGGAAAGCCAAGAGAGAAGAGGGCTCCTCCACCCCGAAGCTGGGGAATCCCCCTCAGGCACAACAAACCCCAGGAAGGAGGGTCATAGGGTCATTCCTGGGCTCCCCGAGCTGGAGAAGAGCCAGCGGGGGCCGCGGTGTCACTGGGAGCAGGGGGACTGCGTTTTTCCAAGGAGAGCCGGCAACGAGGGGAAGCCACGGGTACTGCTTGGCAGCTCTCAGCCTCCTCTTCCTGCCCGCGCTGAAACGCTCGCCTGGGCCCAGCAAACAGCTCGGCCCGGCCCTGGACTTTGCCACGAGTTCCCGGGGCCAGCGGAGCCCAATCCTTCCCCCACTCACCTGGGCCTCCCCACCGCCGGCACTGCTCGTGCTGCTGGCATCGCCTTCGCCCTTGTCGGGCTTCACAGCCGACATCTCCTCGGTGCTCTCTTGGTCTGCGCAGGAGGGAAGCGACAGCCCCGGTTAGGGACATTTTGGGGCAGGGCAGCGGCACGAGGCTCGGCAGGGGCAGGCAGGGCCCGGAGGGGACACGGCGGGCTGGCTCTGGGGGCACCGTGAGCTCCTGGCGCAGCCGGGAAGGGGCTGCGAAGAGCCGGGAGCTGCCAAAGGGGAGCTGGCAGCGGGACAGGGGGGGAGGACCCGGCCCCGCTCCAGGGCCCAGCTCCTCCCCAGCCGCCCGGGACACTCCCTGGCCCCCGCCGAGGTCCTCCCCGGGCCTCCCCCTGGCCTTACCCGCCGACCGGGGCACACACCTCCCACCCCGGGATTCCCCGGCGCGGGTCCGGCCCGCGGGATGCCCCGCCCGGGGCTGCCCCACCCGCGACCCCTCCGGCGCGGGGTCCCCGCTCCCACCGGATCCTTCCTCTCCCGGCGCTCGGGGGCCTCCTCATCCTCCGCCGGGCTCGGGGCTGCGCCCCCCGGTCCTGCCCTCACCTCCAGCACCCCTCATCGGGGTCTGCACTGGGGAGGGGACGCTGAACGCCCCCGGCCGCTCACCCCTTCCCACGGCCCCCCCCCCGCCCTCGGCTCCCGCATCCGCCCCCGCAGGGCGCCTTGCCCGAGAACGGGGGAAAGCCCCCCGGTGCCTGCGCTCGCAGCCGCACACCCCCACGGCCTCCCCCGCCATCTCCGCGCCCGATCCCCC